ATGGATGCCTGGAAACCACTTCTTCTTCTCTATGTTTTCACCTTCTCAACAGAGGCAGAGGAGTCTGGTAATACACTAATGAAATTATTCTTCAAGTTGATAACAATATTGCTTTTTTACATTTGTACCCAATGTTAGTGGGAGGTGAAGAATTGAAGAAAATTTTTTCTAACTATGAATTTTAATTAGGGATAATGTGGTTGGTTTTTATGAAACTCATAACTACAATAGGATAGTTTCCCTAAAAAATGCAAAAATTAATGCAACAGCTCTCTAAATGTTGTGTTTGTTCATCCATGATAAGGTTTCATATTTGCAAAAGTAACATAAAGCTCTTACAATTGTAAGACTGCCAAAAGGAAGATAAGTCACAGTATTTGGCTGTTCCATCTGTTGCATTTTGGTAGTCAGGTCTTCTGGAAGATCTGTTTGAGAAGTACTCTGCCTAGTTGCAGGATATTTTCTACATGATTGTCAATTTGAGGAAATAATGACTGTTCCACCCATGCTCTGCTAGTGTTATGTGCTTCTGGAATTTGTGGAAACACATAAGTTTCACACCTACTACAAAGAAATGTGCTTAGTACTTCTTAAGTTGAATGTGAATGTATGTTTTTTTCCCCTCAGAAAATAAATATTAATTAGTAATGTACGCATGTTGAATGGAGCTCAAAGTGCATGACTAACTTTTCCTTTGCTATCTTGAGAGAGAGCAGACCAACATATTCTAATGGTTATGTTTTGTGTACAGAAGTGTTTAATATGCATTTACAACAGATATGTTCTGAGCAGACTGTGAATGAAAATTGTGTTGTGGATTTCAGCATCTTTCCTTTTCCTATGAATGGTATTGCAGAAGGATGTATCTTCCAGCCCTCAATAGGATAAACAGGGGAAAAGAAGGAGCTAGTGGGTGATGACAATTTAACAGAACAGATGGGAGGGTTTTTCTGCAAAAGGCCAATAGGTCTTGGATTCGGAAAAGCAATTAGGATTCAAAATTACTTTTCTATTAGTTTATACAACCTTTAAGGAAATAGAAAATGTACAACATATTTCTTCAGTCAGCAGGAAAGCTTCCATGACAGACATTATTTTCCTGGTAGTAAGTGCTGGTAGCCAAAAAGAGGCTTGACCAGAGCCTTTTTCAGTGAGTACTCTGCTGAGAGCGTAGAGGATACAGCAATGGTTTTAAGGAGCAATGGGATCTATGTCTTTTGAGCTAACATAGGGATGATAAAATCCCTCTTGAGAGCTGTTTTTAATAATGATGATGCAGGGAGAGTTCACAGTGGAAAATCTTGATGCACTGAAAACCATCAAAAATAATGTCAGAAAGTTCTGTTAATGCAAACATCTCCCTGGTCAGGGTAAGGAACAAACCTTTTTTTGGATGCATAATGACAAATATCTACACCACTTTCTGCAGTCCCTGATAAAAGTACCTGAGCTAACTGCACAGCAGTGTAGTGGTTTTACCAAAGAATATTGCCCAAGTTTGCAACTCACAACTTTTACTTTGCTTCTGTCAAGAACCACTACACTCCTTACTATGGTAAATAGCTTCTGAAGTGAGGCAGTGCTTCACATTAAGCCCTCATATTCATTGTTCCTCGGTGTCTGAAAGGAGCCAGAGTAGATACCCCCAGCAGGTACCTTAATAAAAAGAAGGAAACAGACAATTCAGTGATATTTTAAAAAGAACCTCCTAGAAACATAACTTTACCATCTCCAGCTAACCAGACTGCTTCAGTGGGACTGTCAGCAGCCACTGTCTGTCAACAAAACTGAAGTCTCACAGAGGCACTGTGCAGAGGGGGTGTCAGGAAATTAATCCTTGGATACATAGGAGGTATTGGCAAGATGTGAACAGCAAATCCATGGTAATTCTGAGGTGCTACCAAAAAGTTTTTCCTAGATGAGAAACAGAAAGTGGTATTTCCTACTGCATCTCTTAGATGGCAACAATGGCTTGGAGGCCACACAGTGTGAAAGGCTGCCAACCCCAAAGAAAATAAAGGTTCTGTAATGCCTTTAGTTAACATTGCATCTTTTATCAAATATCACATGCTGGTTTTGGGTCTGAGTTTATTCTGACTTGGTACATTACCAGTCACCTTATCATGTGGGAAGACTGACATAAAGAACATACACAGTTGCTCTTTATCATAACATATTCATGCCAGCTATATAGTTTGATAATACTGTAGATGTGTTTGTTAAGTTGCAAAAAAGAAAAATGGAGTGCATGAAAAATCAAAAAGCTGATCTCTTCTGATTAGCGTAAGTGCATGGCATTGGTTGCGTATGGCAAGAAGAGACAATTCTGGAGCATTTCTTCTCTCTTTTCTCATTCTTATAGGGACTGTCCTTTAAAGCTCCTTGTTGTTAAAGTTCCTGTGTGTTGTCTTTACATAGAGGTGATATTTTACACATGTTGGATGTATGCTCTTTGTTCTCCTCGTTATGGCATAAAATTGATCAAACCCAGTTCTCCAGGTTTCATTCCCTTTGTGATCAGAAACTTACCAAGAAAGGAGCACTGGGATGACCACAATGCTTGCCTAAGGTGTTTTGTAACAACAGCTGAGCCTCTCATGCATCTTGGTCTAGTGAGATCTTGAACACCTCAAAAGTGGCTGGTGTTTGCCAGGGTGGTGGGGGCCAAAATGAAGAGCTGAACCTTTCTTCTTAAAGACAGAAGCAATCCATGTGAATTATGTCTGCCCAGGTGGTTTGCAGAGAGAACAGCTAGGCCTGATCCAGTATGAGCTCTGTACTTCCACCCACTATTTATCCCATCAGGATCTGAGCATACTTCCAGATGAAAAAACATTCCCTGGCTCCTGCAAGCAGAGAGAGCGAGCTGCTCTGGAAGGGAATGCGCTGCCATGGAGCAGTATGACCATAGCAGATGCAGTAGCACCTCCTGCTGTTTCATGGGGGGGAACAGGGAGATTTAATGGGAGATACAGCAGTAAACTTTATTTTTATATATATATATATATATATACATATATATATATATATATATATATATATATATATATATACAGGCACACTTGTATAGAGAGAGAGAAGTTAAGGAAAGCATATTGGGTTTCATCTCAGTGACACGCATATTTATTGCTAAGATCTGCATAAATTTGTCTCATAAAATGAAGATCAGCTTTCTGTGACACTTGTTTGATCTTGTCCTGTCATCTGTTTTAATATATTCACTGACCTTTTCCTGTAATAAATCTATTAATTCCCTTTTCTTCAGTCGCATTCTCTTAAACTGACAGATTTTTCAATTTAGAGAATTGCATTTCAGGGGCAGCACGTTGACAGGAGAAAAAGATACCTTTGCAGCAGTAAGATAGGACAATTTAACAGTGTGGTGTTAGTAGGAGAACGGGTGGTGAGAAAAAGAGTTTGGCAACACAGAGATGTTTATTCCTGCAAATAAATAGAGATTATCAACAAGGTATGGAATACCCAACGGTAGGTGTTTTACACATTCTAATGAACAACATAGTAGTACTAAAAGTGAACTATTTACTGCTGTTTTGTTATTCTTGCTGGTACATAGAGGACTTGACAAAGAATGTTTAAAGAACTGAGCAGTGTGGCTGAACAAGTGTTAGGGCAAAATTGCTGAATTCATGCTTACCCAACACACTGCCTCCAAACTGTGTGACTAAAAAGACCCAGGTCTTGGAAGAATCTCGTTGTGAGCACATACTCTGTGTGCTGTACAAGAACACATGCTGAAAGAAATATCCATTAGATTTTGTGTTCACATGTACGTGTAGACATGTATATATGTATAGATTTTTAACTGATTCTTTTGTTATGAGCTAAAAAGATAAGATGCATAGATTTTTGATGTTGCTGTGAGGTCTGAATGCCAGTTTTTTTTAGCCATTAAATCTTGTTCAATGTGACCTTTTACATTCAAAGATTTTCACACTGCTTTCCGGCAGATCATACCCTCTAGGGGGCAGTTTGTACTACAAGTGAAAATATTGAAACATAACCATGGTCCCTCTGAAATGAAATTATTTCTAGAAGTATTTGGTTAAAGAACTGAACACATTTATCTCTTTCATGAGAGAGGGAAAACTCAGAAAAAATATGTGAAATAATAGGAACAAGCCCAAACTAGCAAACACAAAAAGCAATCTTGTGATTCCTAAGTGTTTCAGAGTCAATGAGTGAAAAGAGAATAAAATTAGGTAGAGTGCTGTTATACAGATAAAATTGCATTCCTCTGACTTCCTTGCAGAGGCACAACAATGAATAATAATGCATCTAGGATCACAGAATAAAATTCAACATGAGAAATGAATAATCAAGGTAGAGAAGAAGAAACCATGTGGTTTAGCTAAGGTTTTAATGAGGGTAAGATGACTGGGACAAGGGGAGGAATTAACCATGTCACACTATTAGTTGTTATTACAAGGAACAATTCAAACAATTCTATAATTGAGGTAGCCATCACCTTACAGCAGCTGTTTTTCACTGTGATTTTATTGGATATTTCACAGTGGATGTTTCATGTAGGCAATGCTGCCTCTCTCTCTCTCATGTTTGTTTCTTTGGCCTGTTTTGTTCTATGTTACATGTATCATTTGGTGACAAAGTGACAAAGCACAGTCAGTCATTAAAGTTCCCTTCACAACTGGAATCTGTGTTGTACATTCTCAGTTGCTAGCAAAGCTCATAGAGACATTTTCAAGATTAGGCCCTTTGAGGACACTGGGCAGCTGGAGAACAGACATGTTTTGCAGTTTGGGAATGTGCAAGTGTCAAGTAATTTAGTATTTTCAAGTTCATATGGCCACACTGAAAGGTGTGGGCTGATGACGTTTTATATATATGGAAAACCTATCTCACTGATTCTTACTTCTGGCTTTGAATCTACTATGTTGAATTTTGTTCTATGATTCTGACAGAAAACAAGATCACAAAGAATGTATGTTTATAATTCCCTGTTTCCTATGTTTTTTTTTCAGAATGCAATATAGATCTTTCTATAGCAATTGATATTTCAAGGAGTATGCAGCCAGCAGCCACAATGCTTCTGAAACAGAGACTGCAAGCATTCCTTCCTAGACTTCTACTCCAGATGAAATCACTGCCAAATACCAGCTGCAATGCTCCAGTCGAAATTGGGTTCAAGTTTCAAGTGTTGGCACAGAATAGACAATTAATCTTTGACTCTGGTTTTGAAGACTATAATGAAGAGATCATCCAGAAGTTCTTAGGTGCACAGACCACTGTGGACACCTACATGAATGCAGACTTTTTGCAGGCACTCGAGGAGAACTTCTTTAATGTGACCTCTGCTAAAGTTAAGGTAACTTAATGGTATGAACATATATCTTGGAAAAATTAGGTAATTTAATATTTACAGACTCTGATGCTGAGCACTGCAGGAAGACAAAAAATAGTTCAGGTATAGATGATGCTAATAAACAGAATCACAGAATTGTAGAGATTAGAAGGAATCCCTGGAAGTCACCTTCTTCAATCCCTCTGCTCAAGTACGGTCAACTAAAGCAGTGTCCAGGGCCATGTCTGATGGCTTTTGTGTATCTCCAAGAATGGAGACTGCTCTATGTCTCCAGACAACCAGCGCCAGTGCTCAGCCACTCTTGTCTTTTCTTAAATTTATATAGACCTTCCTTTTATTTTGTTGACCTGATATAACCTGATATATCAATTCCAATTCACTAGGCACTCCTGTAGTGAGATGGTACCCAGAACATGTGATGAGTATTCTTACAGATAACCTTCCTATATCTACCATGGAATGATTGTACTTTGGGCAGTGGAAAGTAGTTTTCTTTCAGGAACTCTTATTCCTGAAAGGAAACTTTCTTATTCCTGATTTTTTATCTTTGTCCAGAATGGTGATAGCTCTAAACAGAAATCCCAGAAAAAAGTTATCTGAGAAATTTGTTTAAAGAAGTTTATTCATGTCATTAACTTGTCAAATAATTTCAAAAAACAAAGCTGGGCTCTACTTACAGATAACTGATGATCAGGAAATTCTGCCTAGATGCTGTGTTTGATTTGTCCACCTTGAAGTGAGGTGAAGGGAGAAGCATAAAACTTCATCTAATCTCTCAAGAAATGAATGGGGATTCTTTCAACTTGAGTTCAAGAAATTCAAATCTCATTGGAGTGTTTCAGGGTCAATGCCTTGACAGTTTATCCTTGATAAGGCACTGACTCTATAAAGCACTGAATATGTCCTGTAGTAGCTGTTTGAATATTAGCACTTACTAAGGTCTCTTAGTAAGAGACCTTCCTGCTAGGGAAAGACTGGTTAGTTCTTGCTAAAAACATAAAGAGTTTCATCTTCCAACTTGAATTTTGCTTTGATGAAACACCAATTTTAATCTGGCATGGAGTGAGGAAGCCATATTAAAAATTCCTATGCTTTCAGATGAAAGTTGGTGTTCTATTTTTTACAGCATTTGCAAAATTTAATGAGTTGTTTTCCGAAGATTTCTTAAAATGTCAGAACAGGGAACATGACCACATAAGATTTTGGTTGTTTTGAGTCTCAGAGAAAGAACTCGTTTGACATAAAGGTAAAAGCAGTGCTTTGTTCCTCCTAATTGCCAGTGCTGGAGATCAGCATCAAGCAAGGCTTCTTTCTGCTTAGGCATTATTATTATAAATAAATATGCTTCATATCTCAGCACTTTACCAGTGGATTAATATTCTTCTCTGACACTGTTTATGTACAAATTGAAAGTACAAGACTTTAGAATGCACATGAAACCACAATTTTATCTTCCTAGGATCCTGAGCAATAACATGCTTGTTCTGTAAAGATTATTAATTATAAAAGTCATCAGGGACCATGATTATCTATTGGTTGAATTTCTTCTTTTCTTTGTTATATGTTTGCTTAGCAGGAAAAAGTTGGACCTAATTCCCAGCATTTTCAACAGTGGATGTGTTCCAACAAGAGCTTGATATATATAAATGCTTTGTAAACATAATAACATATCTTTACATATATTCACACATAATGCCTGCAGTTACACCCCACATTCCCTGTTCCCCATGTTTTTAAAATGGAAAGATCATAGAAAAAAACAACCAAATCCAGGCCTACAGCATTGTCTCTAACTGTATCACATGCTCCTTGAGCAGGCATAGAATTTGTACCAGTGCCTCCACATTGTGTGTTTGTTACCTTACTAGTTAGTTCCAGCTTAAATTCTTGTCTTCTAGCTGCTTCAGTACAGAAGGGGAATGTTTGAAGTGGCAATCAATTCATTTGCTTTTGTCACCTGTGGAAAAATTTACCTTAACAGAAGTAACGGGTTTTGCATTGGTCAAAGCTGTGCCTTGCATAGGGAATGTAAAATATGAAGGGTGGGAGGGAAGAAGATCTAGCTTTGCTTGTGCACTTGCTGGTCAGAGAGTTTAGGAGGATTTTTAAGTCATTGCCGTTGAGGATAGGACATCATTTACTTGTGCAGCTTCTTTCTGGGCAAACTAATCCACTCTGTGAGCAGGACCTGAGAAGTCTTCTGTTGGTATGAAGAGGGAATTGGTGGAGAGAAATTGGAAGAGACTGGTAGCTTGAAGGGGAACTAAGAAACTGTGCTTTTCCTCCATACTGGAAGAAACTTAACTGTTACTCTTTGTCCTGAAAAGGTGGAAATGTATCCAATACAAATTATTAGCATCCTGAGGTGAGCTAAACCTTATGTCTTAAGAAAGAAACATAAAGCAGAGAACAGAGAAGGGTGATGACCTGCCTGTGTGGAAGGACAAAAAGACATAAATATTTGCATGGGGGGAGGATTAGACCCAGAGAGGATGCGCTTCCTGGTGTGGCTCAGTTGACAGCCAATGGGAGCTGCTCTTGCAGAAATGGGAGAATTTGCTCTTAATTCTTCTCCACATTCACATATAAGAGAACTCTTCAGACATCAAAGAAAGGTTTTCAGTGGGTAAGTTAGAAAAGAATTTGTCTCCTACCTCACATGCTAAGATGACAGATATAATAGCTATGCTATATTCTGCAAAAAAAATCCCTCAAATGGAAGTGCTATCAGGGAAGAGAGGTTTTTGTGTTCTGTTCTCATTTTTCCTCACTACCATTTCCAGCACACATTTCAGGTCTACCATAGTGTAGTGCAATTTGACTATCTCATAGCCATTTCTCAATGTGAGCTGTAATTCTTACAAAGACTGAACTTTCAGTTTCTTTGCAATTGACTTGTCATTCCTCCCTTTCCTGCCAGGTTCTGTTAGTATTTTCAGATGGGCTCGATGGTTCACTGGAAGACCTGAAGAAAGCAGCAGACTCACTTCGCTTTAAAGGTATTACAGTACCACTTTGATGCTCCTGCATCCTACTACCACAGGCCTGATGTACAGCTCCCCCATTGAAACCTTTTCACTTAACACTGCCTGTCCATGCTCATGTGGAATTGCCCACAAGTATTTCCTTCTCCATGTGAAACAGTTTACATGACTTGTCACTATATGGCAGATGATGCCAGAGACATGCCTAGGGGTGCAGAGGTTCTAGTTTTTTCTAGTTTCTGGAATCCAGCTCCAACAGCTGGAGCAATTCAGGATGGACACTTCTTACAGATGAGAACAACACCAGAGGTTAGATACAACTCTGACTTGTCTAGGAAAAAGCAGGTTTGAACTTGTGTTTGGGCACTGAGTAACATTCTGGTCTGACAGTTGGGGAGAGAAGTCAATTAGAAAATTACTGGTCTAGATTTTTCTCTTACACATTTTTCTCAATAGCTCGATTTCTTTCAATATATTGTACTGAAGACATAAAATTTAAGTCTTTCAGGGAATTGCTGTTATTTGAGTTTATATTGTTGGTTAAATTGTGTGTTTCAGGTATTTACTAATTTAAATTTGTGCTTATGTTGAAGGTCTTGATGCACTTCTATTAGTCGGCCTGGACAATACACAGAACTTGACTGAATTTTGGGAAATAGAGTTTGGCAGAGGGTTTGGATACAAGGAACCTCTGAGTGTTGGGTTTGCAGATATTGCAAATATTTTGCAGAGAAATCTTGTAAGTCCTTTTGTGATATAAACAAAAGGAGGGGGGAATCAGTCTTTCTTTATGATGAGCATATGTAAATGAAATGTTCCTTCTAATTTTTCAGGATACTGTTGCAGAGAGAAAATGCTGTAAGGTTATTTGTAAGTGTCTTGGAGAAAATGGTGATCATGGTGTCCGGGGAAATCCTGGAAGGAAGGTAAGAGGTCTAAGATAGACATTACATAAGAACTTCTTCATTTTTCAAAGTGTTTCTGTTTTTTTTTTTTTTTTTGTAGTATTTCAGAGCATGCATGTGTGCCCCCATAGCATTTAATGTTAGGACAGATGAAGGAGAAACATGAAATGTGATCCTTTCTCTGCTGCATTCTCCTATCCAAAATATTTTTGTAATGAAAATGATTTGTACATATAAAAATCATTAAGCACTCTACTGCACCAATTCAGCAGAAAATTGAGAGGGATTAAAAAAATTAAGTCTGATTAATCAAGAGGCTTATTATCTATTGGGAATGAGAAACTTCCAACTGACAAGCTGAAAATAGAAAATAATCATTTTTCACTAGGTATGTACCTTATGCTTTTGTGACTGGTTATTCCAAATATCCTCTTATATAAGTGTGTTTTGATCCAAAAGGATTACTTCTTTTAAGATTTAAAATTTAAGACATTTTTGAATAATACAGATATCACTACTTCTACAGCATACAAGTAGAAGTAATTATTAAAGTTTTTAATATATGTAGTCTCCATTTGACTACTATTCTTTCCATTATATCTACTTATTTCAGTAGCATGTGAGATAAGTTATATCTGCAGTTCACACTCTTCAGTTATATGGTTGCAGTTAAATTAAGTTTTGGTTATCTCTTAAGAAAAATATAGTCTTCTAAAACTTCTTCATAAACCAATTTACTGTTTTTTTTCATTACTCTTGTTGATTTTCTTATACATTTCTGTTTTACTAAAGGACTAGATTAAGGTTCTCACACAGTGTTCAGAATGTAAACATAGCTGTTTTGCAACTGGAAATTCCCTTTGTTCCAGTTTCTTTCTGCTCAGATTCTTCCCTAACGGTAATGATATTTGCATGACTTCCAATATAAAGTTGAAACCTTCTTATATGTTTGCAAGGCATTGCAATAAATTTGTCCTAACAAGTTTCCAACTCCATATATTTTTCATTTCACCTTAGAATTTAATTACTGTAATGTTTCTTTTCCAGATCACTAGAAAGATATTTAATTTGACGAACTATCCCAAGGAGCTTTATTAAGCCATCAGAGAGTTTCCTGAAATAACAAGCTCAAAGTGTATATTAACCATTGTTCTTTTCTTGGTTTTACATTTGAGATTTTTTTCCCAGCCATGTCAAATACACAGGACTGTACAGAGTGTCTGTGTAAATGCAGGAAGCCTGCCCTCCTTAGCATAACCAGATCTAATTTTCAGGGGATGTTTTCTATCTCTGTGTGCAGAATAATCTGAAAGAGATTAACTGTGTGTGCTTGGAGAAAGTGTTACTTTTAAATTCTCATTTTTCAGGGAAGTACAGGTTACAGAGGATCTCCTGGCCATCCTGGTGAGGAAGGTGGGATTGTAAGTAAACATTTGTCTTCCTGTTATGATGATGTTAGTTGGTGCCTGAACCTGTACCCATCAATGTTAACCCAAAATGTGTTAGAGGAACAGGTAAATAGGCAGATCTGTTTCTCTGTGTCTCATTGTATGGATGAGATTGAACATTTTCCTTTGTTTCTTAGGGGGAGAGAGGCCCAGCTGGTTTCAGTGGGACTCAAGGAGACAGGGGATGTCCAGGTGTCAGAGGCCATAAGGCAAGTCTGTAACTTTGAAACATTTCCTAATTTTGTTTCCCATAAACTTGTTTTCTGTACTGGGGAAAAATCCCTGTGCTGTCTTCCTGAAGCATGGATGAACATCAAGATTCAGCTGTAGGAATGGCAGACAGTGTTTGCTGTCTGATTTTGAGAGATATTTTGTGTAACCCAAACATGGTTTAATGGCTCAGGATTTTGCTGACTAAGCAACTGGATGATGAGTTTTTCACCACTAACTCCAGACTGGCCATAGTTAAAGCTATAAAGCTTTATGGAGTGGGAGTGAAAATTAAGCCTATACTATCTTTCCCAGAGGAAAGGAGGAAATCCCATACATGACAGTAGAAGGTTTTACAGTAGGGACTACCAATACTGGGCTCAGCATACCTCTGCACAGCAAGCTATTGTACCCTGCTTTTCAAGCTCAATAAAAATACTTTTACCAAATTTCATCTCTATTTTTTTTTCAATTTCAGGGGGCCAGAGGCTATAGAGGAAGTCAGGTATGTGTTTTCATGTGTGATACATTTTCTTTGAGAACTGATTTCTGCTTCCTTTCATGTTACCCTGTAAAATGAAATTATCAACAAGGAAGGAAAGTAGTGTAAAAACTTAGTGTAAAAATAGTGTAAAAACTTAGTGTGAAAATAGTACAAAAACAACATTAAATGTACTTTTGCTATGGTTCTATAAAGATGGATTTAAGATACCTATCACATCAATTAAAATCAGCAGTCATAACTGTATTTTTATATGATTACAGTCTATTAGTCTAACCGACAGGAAAAGGATTTATTTACTGACTAGTTTGTTAATCTGTAAAGGTGGTAATTCTGGTCATCTGAATCTCATTCTAATTGTGAAGAGGAGATGAGGGAAAAAAAGGTTGCAACTAGTAGTTATTGGGGGTTTGGACAGCATTTTCCCTAGATCGTTATTGACACTTTTTTAATACTCAAATATCTCTTCAAGCTGTGTTTGTCATCTCATCTGCTGATATTTCAAGTCTGCTTGTTTAACCTTTCAAACATACCTGTTCATGAAGGAGATGTGTTCACTAATTTGATAATAGAGAGTGAAGCCTGCAAGACAATGATCTGTAACAGTAATAGTTTCCAAGCAACAGTGATTAAAATGAAATTAACTTGTATTGAATGCTTTGATACAAAACCACTTCTAAAAATGAGTTGTGAGCCTCAAAGATTCAGAAGATATTTGTCTCCATAACTGAGCAGCTTGGACAAAGTTCAGAGATAGTTTCTGTAACCTCAGCTCTATTTAAAGTACTGTTCTGTACTAACTTTTTAATCTTCTCATGTGTTTCTCTTTCCTTTTCCATTTTCTGCTGTTCTCTGAAGTAATTTGTCCTTCCTCCAATGTTCAAAATGTCAGATTATAGAAGAGGGAGAGTACTTGCTGATGATTTCAATTTGTCAAAGTTAAATAGTGCAGTAGGTCTTACCAGTTGCACAAACCCTACTGAAATCAGGTAAACATGTGAATATCTTCATTATGTTGTGTCGTTATATCCACAAATTTTATTTTAAATAAAAATATGAAACTTTCAGCACATAAAAATGTGATTCAGTTGTGCCAACTTAGTAAGGTTGAAGCAGTTTATTGAAGTTACTGAAGTTTGGAAGGCATTTTATTGTAGCTATTTGAATGAAAGGAAATACTGAATGTTTAATAGTATGAAGTTTGGCTCAGGTTTTCTGAGGTAGGAAATGACTGATAGAAAAAATAACACCTCAATAAAAGTCATGATTACTTACTTAGTGCTCAAAATTTTTCTGGAATGCTTATTCAAGAAATTCTTGTTTGTGACATTAATCGAAATGTACAGACAGCTGTTTTTTCTTGTAGTAGATGCAGAATTGTTTTAAATGAAAGAAGTTCTTCCTCAGGAATTTTAACTAGGAGATTTTGCAAAGTCAATTTAGCATCAAAACCTACAAAGCAATTTTATCTGTGGTCTCTATCAGAGTGAGACTGCTGATGGTTTTAACTTGTTCTTGTGCCACTTTCAGTGTTTGTTGAATATCATTTCAGCTTTCTGGTTAATTGTCTCTGCTAAATTAATTTCCTACTACAAATTAAACCAACACAGTTAATGCCTTCATTTTTATCCTAGTAAAGAAAGATGGAAGAAGTTTCAAAATATCCTGTAAAAATTTGGTTTGTTATTTACCTGAGTCTGAAACACTGTGGAGTATACATACATGAAAAAAGTCTCACAGTTATAACTTTATTTAGATGCCTCACAAAAGTAAACACTGCAAACTCCTTAAGTCTGGGATGGGCATTTTGTGGGAAAATGACTTCCATAACTGTTTGCAATGCTGTGTATCATTTTTGCAGGCAAAGACAAGAGAAAGACAATGTGAATTTGAAAGGGAAGGTGACTGATATTTACGTAGCACTGATACTTATGTACTCTTGCTGAAAGAGTTATGGAGTTTCTTAAAAAATCCTAAAGTTTAAGATCAATCTTCTGTAATTATTTTTTAATCATGGTTATTCTTTCTGTTTTTTCAATCCACTGTTCATATTATAAAACGATGGAATAAAAGCAAAAAAGCACAGTAAAAACACATATGATGTATTAAATCAGAATTACAAGGTTATCAGCATGATAGATCAAATACTATTAGTTTATTTTGGAATTTGTATTTTGAAGGTGCTGCAGCTGGGAAAATATGTGGAAGGTGAAAGAAGGAAAAGCAGAATTTAAATCCTAATGGAAATATATAATTTAAATAGCTGTTTTTCTTATTAGGTGTCCTTAACAGTTAGTTGTTTTAGACATTGTTAATTCATTAAAAATATTAATTAGTAATTAAAATTTATAGTTATTATTCTTAATTATTCTTGCTAACCATTAAAACCACAGATCTTATTCAAGTTTCCAAATGCAGGACAAACACTTCTTTCTTTTTCTTTGCTCAGACAAGTGGATTAATGCTAATTGGATTTTTTTTTTTTTTTTTTTTTTTTTTTTTTTTTTTTTTTTGCTTATTGCTACAGGGTGAACATGGTGAGAGTGGATTTGATGGCACTGATGGAGAGCAGGTAAACATTACTTTAAATGTGCAGTGCTATTAAAGACACCAACCTCAGGGTTCAAAGGTACAGATTTTGTGCTTTGAATGGGCTTTAATGCTGAACAGAAGTTATGTTGTTGGGTATTTAGAATTATATATCTGATTGAAGCTAGATTCTGCCAGAAAAAAACTTCTGCCAGAATCTGATTTAGCAGAAAGAATAAACATTATTTTTTTCTTCTTTCTCTCCCCTTTCTGAGTTTAGGGAGAACATGGATTTCCTGGACCTTCTGGAGAGAAAGGCAACAGAGGGAAATGGGTGATGTACCCCTTCAGTAATGTTTAGATTTTATGGAAACATCTTTCCAAATTGTAATGCTGTCTGTAATGCCTGTGAGTTATTTTTAATAGCTGCCTGTTCTCTAACATGCTGTCACTCCTGTTCTAAATCAGTGTAGCTCCACTGACTTCAACAGATCTGGCCCTCTGCTGCCACACATATTATTCATACTTGTACCTGAATTGTTTGTGCTCTTTTTATGAATTTAGGGTAGAAAAGGCCCCAGAGGAGAACCAGGTGAACGAGGAGAATCTGGTGTAAGAGGAGATCTTGTAAGTGCATTCCTTTGTTTTTATTATATTTCACTGATTTGCATCTTGATTTTGTGATGGAGGTGTTTGAAATATATGTGATTTGAAGAGTTTTTCACAGTCCTAGAAAATGCAGTACTCTGCAAGAAAAATGGCATATTCTAGGAGTCCTGAACTCTTAAATGTAGATGTACTGATGTGTTTTGATGTGTTGCTTGGAAGCAGGTATTTAAGCCTTGGGTATCCTGCCTGTTTATGATTTTTTAGTTTGTTTGTTTATTTGTTTTCAACATAGGCAACATAACTCCTTTTGGAGCTGCTTATCATAGAACTGTAGAATGGCTTGGGCTGAAAGGGACCTTAAAGTTCAACTAGTTCCCAACACCCCTTGCCATGGGCAGGGGCACCTCACACTAGACCAGATGGTCTGGTGAAAGGACCAGGTGGACTAGGTCAGTCTTCCCTGTTGGTTCCCACCCTACAGAGGAATTCTGGATCACTTGAAAACCCTGTGCACTGACTCTTGGTTAGCAATTTATAATGATGCAAAGGCAAGCTACTTCTTTATATTCACATTTTTGTTTGCATGGTCCAGAGACCTACATAAATGCATTCCCTGGTCTAAAATTCCAGAGCAGACACCACAGTTCTTGTCTTGAAAAGACACAACTTTGTCTTTTCACATATATTTCAATGACTTTGTTCCAAACAGTCATGTATTGTGTGACTCCTGTCTTTAAAGCTTATATTGAAAAAAAAATCAGGTAACGTGGTAATTTGCCTCTTTGAGAGATCATGATTTCACCTGATCTAGCATTAAGTGGCTAAATGGAACTCCATTCTAGTGTAAGCCCCCAAATGAAACCATGAGTTATGATCTTAACTCAATTAACTATATCAAATCAACCAGAACAGTTTCACATTTTCAGTTTAATTTGTTGACCCTTAGTAATTTTGCTTTTAATCTCTGTGCAAAAGAACTTTGCAGAACTTCCTATACTAAGTTCTTACAAGCATGATCATTTAAAATAGCCTTTTTATTCCTTGCTCTCTGCAATTACAGATCTAATTAATTCTATTTCTTTATCCTTCTGCTGTAGTCAAAGTAATAAAGGTATGGTAACAGAAAATGCTGAGCTTTCCATTGATTTTTTTCAGGGAGATCCTGGGACTAACAATAATGTTACTGGCCCTAAGGGTGAAAAAGGAAACCTAGCACCACAGGTAGGCAAGTTGTTCTATTTTGTGGAGAGAGGATTTGCATAATAGCTAATTTCTACTTGCTGTCCAGTGACCAAGGAGGTTTTTGTTCATCTGCAACACAGAAAGCTTTAGAAACTGCTTGATACAGGAAAAATAGAAAAAAAAAAATTA